TAATGAAAATGCACCAAGCAAAAATATCAATCGAAAAACTTTTACAAAAAAGTATCGTTTGGTCCAAATATTTCTCCTTCAACTGGTGAAAATCTAAGATGCAGATTATATATTCAACAAAACTTATCCAGAAAATAGTCACTCGCCTTTTATTTTAAATTGAATAATAAGTGCAACGAGCAGTTCTTTTTCTCAGAAATTTATATCTAAAATGAAGTATGAAATAATTTAGAATTTCTATGTTTTATAAATTAAATTTATATGTATATGTATCAGGCAGAATTAAGATTTAGGAAGAATTATACTTAAAATTTTAAGATAATTTTATGATCATATAAATTTTAAAAAAATTTTTAAAAAATAATTTACTTGTTATTATTATTTTAAATTTTAGAAAACTATCGTGTTCATAAGTTGTATTCAATAGAAACTGAATATCATTTTAAAAAGATGTAGAGTTCGCCACTAGTATTCATTCGAAAATAAAATAAAGTTTTGGAAGATGTAGAGTGTAGTAGATGTATAAAACAATAGATAACGAAAACTGTTTTAAAGAAATTAATAAAGTCTTTCTCATGAATGAGGTGGATAGAATGATTATTTTAATCTCATTGAATTAGTTTTATTATTTCAGATCGTGCGAATATCATGTCTACTCAATAAAAATATTTTAAAAGAAGTTTCTCTTAATCAATTGATACGTTATTTATCTTATCAACTGTTACTAATTTTCCCGACCAAAAAAACAAAAAATTCCAATTTTCACACGGAAAGAAAAGTAGACTTCGTCTGTTTATTTTTGCCTGGAACATCTATATGAGTGACGACCACATACTCTTTACCTGTATTTCCAAAAAAAAAGAAAAAAACTAAATGTCAAGTTTCCTCGGAACGAATTTTGACGATCCTTTTCGTTTCGCTAATCTGGAGACGGTTGTTCACCGCTGAAAAACTCACGTTTTCCTCCGCTTTAATTTGTAAGAAACTAAATCAATCTAGTTTGAATGTACTGAAGTTTTTGTAACCGCAATGAAAGAAGTGATGAAGCAATTTCACACTATATTATCGTTTTGTTTTGTTTTGCATTACATGACGTTTCATGAATGATAACTATCAATAATACACGTTTAGACATTTCTAGTTGCAGCGTAGAGTATCATTGATATCATTAGTATTCTATCTAAAACAACTTAATTCGAACAAATGTGATTGAATGTTCAAGAGACGAGAGCATACCGGAAATGAGTCCAAACTTAATTGAAAATTTTCATACATTGTATATATGATCTGTGTGTGTTATGCAAAAATACATTTTATACATATATATATATATATTTGTATATGTACATATCTATTTATGTAATTAATATAAGTTTCCAGAAACTATTTTCATGACCTAATCGATACTGCTACGATATATAAGCGACTAATAGGGTGTAGAAGGCAGTAACAAGTACTATTACTAGAGACAAGTACAAAGTACTAGTTACTACCACTACGATCCAGCACAGAGTACTACGTACTATTACAAGGCCCTAGTAGGAAGTATCAGGGACAAACACTAAGGTCCAGCAGGAAACACCGGGCACTTTTACTAGGACCAACTAGGAAGTACTTGGTGCTCACTCTAGGGCCTAATAGGACGCACCAGGTGCTAATAGTAGGATCCAGTAAGAAGTACCAGGCATTAATACTGGGACCCAGTAAGAAGCACCAGGTACTATGACTAGGACCTAAAGGAAGTACCAGGTGCTAACACTAGGACCTAGTAGGAAGTACCAGGCACTAACAGTAAGGCCTAGTACGAAGTACCAGGTACTAATACTAAGATCTAGCATAGACTACTATGTACTAACAAACTGGCCTAGTAAGAGGTACCAGGTACTAACACTAGGATCTAGTACGAAGCACTAGGTACTATGACTAGGACCGAAAGGAGGTACTATGTACCAATGCTATAACCTAAAGGAAGTACCAGGTGCTACTACTAAGATTCAGTAATGATTACCAGGACTAATACTGGGACCTAGTAAGAAGTACGAGGACTAACACTAGGACCTAGTAGGAAGTACTAGATACTAATAGTAGGATCTAGTAGGAAGTACCAGGCACTAATAACTTGGACCTAGTAGGAAGTACCAGGCACTAATACTAGGACCTACAGGAAGTACTAGGTGCTAACACTAGGATCTAGTAGGAAGTACCATGCACTAATACTAGGACCTAAAGGAAGTACTATGTACCAATACTAGAACCTAAAGGAAGTACCAGATACTAATAGTAGGACCTAGTAGGAAGTACTAGGTACTAATAATAGGACCTAAAGGAAGTAGTAGATACTAAGACTGAGACATAATAGGAAGTACTCTGTACCGGTACTAGGTGCTGGTATAAAGTACCAGATACTGATACTGGGATTTTCTAGTGACTAGTATGCACTAATAGAATTTAGTGAGGACTACGAGGAGTACTGCACATCGCAAGAGGGTAGTAGTAATCAGGAGGTCGTAGTGCAGTGTAGTAGCGGTTAGAAGTGTTTGGTATGAACTATCTAGTATGACTAGGATCTAGCAGAGATTGTAAATGACTACCAGGATCAGTATTTCTACTTTCTCTCGCTGCGAGATGATGAGGCCGTTATATACAGAACAGTTTCACTCACGCCCACGTCGACACCTTTATCCATGCGTCCTGTACGAAAAACTTTTGAGTATATCTATATTACAAGTATCAATTACAGCTTGCTTGGGCCAACATCTGCCTGAGAGTTTCAATCTTTTATCACTGGATAGATGTCAGCATATAGTTTGAAGACTCATTCTCCTGAAACTGTAGTGTATATATGGTTGAGAATAATGTTTTTTCCAAGAGGATGGCAGTATAGTTGAAAATAGAAAAAATAATGAATTATATATCAAATGAAACTCCATGGAAGAATGGGTTTACGAGTATGACTTATCATTCAAAAGATGAGAATATATTATAGAATTACAGCAGACTTTATGTTGTTGGGTGCTCTGATGACTAGTTAACAACAAAAATATAAATTTATCATAGATTCTTTTTGTCTAATAGACTTTACAGAGTTCTCTTTGCTATTTATTTTAGGGAAAATGTTTTTGAAATATGACGAGAAAATAACGAGATTGGAGTCAGAATACAAGAGTTTTTCAACGACTTTCATTGATATACTTCAGACATTTTTTCCGTATTTTGATCTCAGTATCGTTATTTATTTGTTAAATTTCAAAAATATTTTTCTCACTATGGAGTGTCTGATCACTTAAAACTTACTATAACACTATAGCATACATTCATCGTTTGGATAACGAGTCAATACTTCTAAATCTCGTTTCAAGTGAACTGTTATCTAGTATAAAACTTATTTTTTATGCTGTTTGAAATAATAGGGACATTCCCGACAGATAAAATATAATCTCGAACACTGTATATATAGTGATGAATAAATTTATAGGGCCGTATACTCACTCACTTTCTAGAAAGATAAGAAAGTAAATAAAAATAGTTGTGCACGTAAGAAGTAGGATGTGCTGATTTTGTCTCTTTTGTTCAGTCATTCTGAGCTATTTCATCATTGTGATGTTGAGAAGATGTGTGCGCTGAATTAAACTAATGCTGATGATAGTGAGTTTGCTCTTTCTCAACTTTAGAGATCTCTCTTATTAGAGAAGTTTGCATTTTTTATCTAGAATTCAGAATAAATTAAATAAGATTGTAGAGTTTACTTCTAATAACTTTTATACTTCATAATAACACAAAATCAAGATAGTTAAAATAATATCACAAATGTTAAGTATATGGATATGTAATGATGAACTGACGTAAAGCTTTTTTAAATACATTGATAAACAATTAAATCGCGAAGCTAAAACAAAGCCAAAGTCAATTACTTAAGATTTGACTTGATTTCAATCTCTTTGAGGCAATCGACTAGAGTTAATCCGAAAAAGTCACAAATTTAATTTTAGTGTGCAGCAGTTGTGTGGATCTTGCTGGTTTAATAAATGTTATTAATCATATTTTTGTCCACTAAGATTTATAAATTAAAAAAGATATTTTTTTCATCATCCTTAATTGATAACCGATAAATTCTCGCTATGATTTTTTGCACCGCAGTTATATTCTTCTTATAAAAATTAGAAAGAATAGACACATTTGCTACTGCTCATAATTTTTTGTTAATAGTTAATGAGTTCAATGATTTTTATCTTATTAACGTTTTTAATATGAAAATAATGATATTTCATTTGTTTCCTTTATTTATCTTCAGGTGTAGCGACCACTGTCGTTGAGGTGATATTTATCAAGCATATCAATCTGCAATTATACATCGCAGAAGCAATTATTTATTAGAATCAACAGTATGTATTTTATATATTTTCTTTTCGTAAATAAATGCAAGTTCATCTGATTTCTGCTTTAAGTGGCGATTTTCTTGTAAATGTTTCTATGGATCATTTTTCACAAGTTTAATTTTGTTCTGAAGTCAGTTAAACTAAGATCTCGAATAAGATTTTTTCTCCGAGATAATACTGTTTCCTTAATCCAACTTTATTCTTTCACTATAGATCTTTCTCTTGGATGTGGGTGTATGTATTGTGATTGTCTCTAATGCACACTCAGATACACCCCCACACCCACACTCACACCCTTTCATTATTTATTTGATTATTTACAGAAAAATTACCAAATATTAGTCAAAAAATATTCCAGTCTGAATCTATCAGCTACAAAAACCGTGCGTTAGTCTACTCTCAATTCTTTGAAATATTAGAATGAAATGACATATTAGATTAGTATGGATACTATAGCTAGGATGCTGACATGTTCTTTCATACTACCATATTGCATTATTATTCATAAATATTTAGAAACATTCATATTCTAATTCCATTAACATATTATTTATCAGATTTAGCAGTGAAGTGAACTTCAATTCTTTTTAAGTTAAAAAACTCTCACACATAAGTGCGAAAAAAATGCTGCTTTGTCTTGAAATAATAATTAAACTACTTAAACATTTTGTTCTAGTGTCAACCAATACAAAATCTGCTTCTAAACTATCCAGAAAAGCAGAGCTTTTTTTTCTCAAGCTCAATTTATTTCCATCTGTTCCACCAACTACCGATGAACATAAACTTCGAAATCAACGTATTTCAACAAGATTATTTATCTTCTTCTTATTTATATCATTATCTATCCTTTTCTTATATAATTCATTGATAAATATTACAGAAACAATTAATGTTAAAGCACCTTCTATCAAAGAATATTCGCAGCTCTATAACTCATATAGTCAAACATTAACATGTGAATGTACACAGATATCAATTAACTATGAAGAATTTATTCAAATTCAATACACACTACATCAGGTGTGTCGTAGTGACTTTGTTACTCAAGAATGGATCGATTATGTTGCTAACTCGTATGGAAACGATGGAACATTTTATGATACCTTTCGAACGACGGGCACATTTGTATTTCAAGCCTTATCTACACTTTGTGTCCTAGTTGATCAAACAATATCGAATAGCTTAACTCAGTTCTATTCGAGTCAATATGTAAGTGAATTTGTAACACCTGAAAATGTATTTCAACTACAAACTGATGCATTTATATCTCAATTCATATTATCAACAACAAATCAATTTTTGTTATCACTATCCATGATACGAAAAACAACACAAAGCAACGCTTTGCTCTCTGGACAACTCACTAATTACAGATTCTATTATAATCTCGATTCTAGTTTAACTACAGAATCTGTCCGATACGATGATTGTACGTGCACTTCTTCAGCTACCTGCATTGAACAATATACAGTTATTAATTATCCTAACTTCACGCAAGTATTTCCTTTACCAGGTCTTTATATAGGATGTTATATAATTGAATCATTACTTCAGTCTAATCTTAAATGTTTTTACGATCAAGTCTGCATAGATACCGTACAGCTATACTTAGGATCGTCTACATTTATAAATGTGACAGCTCTTGATATATCATTGTCGATCCAGTATTTGGAAAACTCAACAATTGCAGATATTCTTGATGAATTGATGGTTGAAGAATGGAATTCATCAAGTATTTATGATAATTATTACAGTGAATGTCAACCGTCAGGCTGTAGTTATACTGTTACGACGAAGAATAGTGCAATATACATTATTACAACTCTGACTGGATTAGTTGGTGGTTTGATTACAGTATTGAAACTTACGGTGCCTATGTTAGTCAAATTCGCAAGGAAATGCATGCACAAAGAAGTAAAAACAGAAGCCGGTAAGAGATGAAAATAGCTTAAAGAGTGTTATGTATAGAATGCATGCGCATCTAACTCGTAGAACACAGAGAAAAGAAGAGGTGATGTTTAAATGGATGTAAATGCCGTTCTAATTTGTTTAGTGAAATAATGCAAAATCAGCATTTTTCAAGTGAAATTCGATATCACATAAAGCAGCTGAACAGGCAACATAGCAATAGTTCATAACATCTCTGTCATGAATATACTTGATTCAATCGGCATTCTATGATCTGTAGTCTGCTGAAACGCAATTTTCCTGAACTAATAAAGAAGACGTGAGAAAACACGAAGTGCTTTTCGTTAAGAAGGTCATATTTGAAAACTAGTTTTGACATGAAAAGATTTGTAAAAGATTTGACAGAACTTTCTACTCGTGAACGCAAAGATGTATTGTACCTTTAATGTTATATTTCTCTCTCTCTCCTTCTCCTTCGTATTATCTCTTTCCCTCTTCGTCTTGTGTATAAACTTTTGCTATATTTGAAGCGGAGACACGCTGAATGTATGAAGCTCAGTGAACATCTAAATCGAGTGTTATGATTAGCTACACTGCCATTCTATGTTACATATAGCTCTTTAATCTTACTCCTTGTCAGAGATGTTCGCGAGTTGTCTCGTTTTTATTGTACTCGATCCTTTGGTGAATTCGACTTCCAATTCACACATAGCTGATGATCTAAGTATTTGCAAGAGGTATAGGTTCCTGTATGGTTTATTGACAGTATTATTTATTTAAGTACTAATACTTTTGCTTTGTTAAGTAACGTTGGGGCGACAATCGAAATGCAGTATATTATACAAATTAAAAGAGCACTTTTCAACATTCAATATCTTTCCATCTGTTCCACCAACTACCGATGAACATAAACTTCGAAACCAACGCATTTCAACAAGATTATTTATCTTCTTCTTAACTATTTCATTGGCTATTCTTCTCTTATATACATCACTGATAAATATTACGCAAACAGTTAATGTCAAAGAACCTTCTATCAAAGATTATAAACAACTCTATAACTCATATAGTCAAACATTAACATGTGAATGCACACAAATATCGATTAACTATGAAAACTTTATTCAAATTCAATACACATTACATCAGGTGTGTCATAGTGACTTTGTTACACAACAATGGATCGATTATCTCGCCACCTCATATGGAGACAACACACCAAATTATGCCGACTTTCGGGTGACAAGCACCTCTACATTTCAAGCTGTAAGCGCATTCTGTACACTAGTGAATCAAACAATATCGAATAGTTTAATTCAGTTCTATTCAAGTCAATATGTAAGTGCATCTGTAACACCTGAAAATGTATTTAAACTACAAACAGAAGCATTTATATCTCAATTCAAATCATCAACAACAAATCAATTTTTGTTGTCACTTTCCATGATACGAAACACAACTCAGAGCAATGCTTTACTTTCTGGACAACTGAGTAATTTCGGATTTAGTATGGACGAGGTGCAATTACTTTTAGCTTACTATCCACGATCCTACGGCAATTGTACGTGTTCTTCTTCAGCTGCATGCGTCACTCAATCTGGAATTTATGAATTATTAACCGACACATCCTTATTTTCTTTATCAGGTTTTTATACAGGATGTTATA